GAGCACAGCTGCCTGCAGCAACAGCCCTGCCCGGGGTTGGTTTTCCAAAACAGGGGCCAGGAGACCCTAGACCCAGCACAATAAAGAAGAAATCCCCAACGCAACCAATTAAGATGTAGTTTATTGTTTGTTTTACCATAGCACCTTTAGGATTTATTTAAAGTGTTAAATACACACACACAATTACAGAACTCTCAAAAAACCTTGATGACAAATACTGCCCCATGACCACATCACACATAAATAGGATACAAAAGAGATAAAAAATAAAAACAATCTTTATTTTTGCCCCCATAAAAACCATTTACTGGAAAGAATAGGGCACTAGAGGGACTCAACACATTAAGACCTGATTCTCCAGGAGAACACGGGGGCTGGGGCAATGAAGTTGTGCACCCATAGCTGCTCTTTAATTGGCTTAAGACCAAGTCTATATTTCATTCAGACCCTGAACTCGTGTGGCATTCACACCAAGACCCCGACTGAAGCGCCACTGAGGTTAAACTGCAATCTTTCCTTTGAATTCAGATGGTTTTGGCTCAGTCCTGGGGATATTCAGGACCAGGAAATCAGGGTGAGAGGAGTAAAGCAACATTAGCATTACACTCAGAAAAAAAAAAAATAAGTGAGGATCAGAGAGTATGTAAGAATCAAGAAAAAAAAAACCAAACCAAAAACCAACCCCAAATCATTATTTCTGGTATAAAACTGTTTACAAACACTGTGGTTATGCAGGAGATAATGTCTTGGTAAGTGTAGAGCCCAGGCACTTAAGTTATATTCAGCTTCATGCTGCTGGTGGGTGGACCCTCTCCCACCATCTATCACCCAATTATCAATACAATGTTCAGTAATTTTAAGAAAAAAATTAAAAACCCACAAACAAAAAAATTCCACATGATCTCTCCAACAAAGAAACAGAATGAAAACAGAAACTTGAAAAAGAAAAGAGCTCTTATAAACATTAACATGCTCAACAAACCACTGACAGCTTTTAAGAGCTGAAACCATCAGGACCTTACAGGATGAAAAGGACCTTTTCCATCATACACAAAACCATCTGGCTTTGGGGCACAGTTTACGGTGTAACACCAACCTCCAACACCAAACTGGCATTGCTGATACCCTACACCTAAAACATATGCCACCATCATTTTATCATCTCATGCTGCAAGGAAGAGGAAAACGTCTCCCAATAGCAGCCCTGAAATGCCATCCTATTTTCTAAGTAACGTATGGCTTTGAAATAGGGCTCCTTTTGTGCTTAGAAGCAGAGGTGCAGGTAGAGCACTGTCCTCATGGAGAAGAACGAGAGCGGCTGGGGGAGCCCAGCAAGGCACTTTCTCCAAAAACGTTGGCATAAGAAGACTTGAGGAACTGGACATAGTTTTGCATGCTGCGGTTGGTGCTTTCCGACTGCTCCAACCGATCCTTTAGATCCTGTAGGCGGCTTTCATACCGGCGCTCTGCCTACATAAAGAAGCACAAAACAGAAGTTGAAAGACAGCAACTTTCATCCTATTCATGTTAAACTGTTCCCAAATAGTGCTGAGGACAGCAAGAATTAGCACAGCAGTAGATGACATTACCATAGTTGGTGCTATATTTATAATTTGTTCTGCTCATTTCCAACTCCATTCAGCAACTCGCTGATAAAAACAGGAGACAACACAGCTAATCAGTTTGGCTTTTGAAACTGATTAGCTATAGTTATGGGGAATTAAATACATTCTTCCCTGGAAAAGCAACTTGCCCTGATACATGTGTCAACCCAATTCCAAGTAAAACTCAAGTAAATAAGCAGGGTAAATAGGACATTACGAAAGATTCCCCTTCTTTCTTTTCTAGAAGAAATCCTTTCCTCTAGGAGAGAAATTGCATTCTCTCTCAGATAACCAAGCACAGTAAATGACGCTGAAATCTGTCCATGGTATCTAGTGTAAATCTCATCTGAACATAAGAAAGGTCTGATTCTTTTCTTACATACACAAAAAAGTTTAGAGCAAGTTCATTCAGATTGTTGCTCTAAGAAGCAAATGAGTGTCTGCATTCCTGAATTAGTAACATAACAAACATGTCATATCACACATCTGTCATGGACAAATATCGCACTCAGACAAAGCTCTGCATGACTTTTGCAGCAACCCATAGGACCTTGGTTTGTGGACTCCAGTTGCCACCAGGACACACCACCAGCACAGCAAGAGTATCCCTTGCAAGTCACTCACATCATCTTTGCTCCGACGCAACTGGTTCAGCTCTGTTTTATTCCTACTCAGCTGGGTCTCCAGATCCAACATCTTCGACTGGGCTGCCCTCTCTCTAGACGTTGCTCGTTCTCGAGTTTGTTCCACCTACGTGCAACAACAGAACAGCAGCTTTGTTAAAGGGTTGTCTACAGAAGAGTGATTTTTCCCCACCCCATTTCCCACAAAAGCCCTATGAAGTTTAACTGGACACATTCTCATACACAAGCAGCAGCTCAGTCTTGTGCTTTCCTCTCCTCTGTTGCAACCTTGAGCACAGGGTTCAGTTTTTCAATGGTTTAAGTGCTGAAAAACAGCACCAGCACATTTTATTATTTGTATTTCACTGAACATGATGATCTTAATGAATTTGGTCACAGGCTAAGGAGGTATTTCCAGCATTCTCACTGTTCCCCTTTTACAGTTGGGTAGTTTTGGGAAAATTCACAAACACAAGAAATTACTTACTTGTCTTTTGGCATCCTCAATGGCCATCTCTAACTGACGTGCCAAGGAGCTACATTCACGGGTCTTCTCCTCTAACCGCAGCTGACACTGGTGGATTGACTCCTCACGTTTTGCTATGACCTGAAGGAATTCTATGTTCTGGGCGCTCGTTGTCTCTAGTTTTCTAGGTTAAGACAATAAGGGAAGGAAACCTATTCACTTTAAATGGAGTGTGTTTCAGTCTGCCTTCTTGTCACGTCCTGACTAGTCTGGGAATAGATTCTATTCCCCTTTGAAAGGTGAAAACCCCAAGAAACACTTCCCCATTTCTCACATCAAAATTTTAAAGATTGAAGGACTTTCAGAGTATCCACATACCTGCATTTTCCCAGACATTGTCACTAAAAGGGATTTATAAACATGGGCAAAAATATCGTAATGCGTAGTAGCCTCAACACTGTCAGGCTAGATTGGACAAGGAGTTGGTTTATCTGCTGTGTAAGACATCACCCCTTCTAACAACATTCGTAAAAAGTGCTGCAAAAACCTATAACTCTTTCCAGTAAACAGCTACTGATTAGACATCCTTGTGGGATAGGCAAATGCACAGAATCCTGGAGGCACATGGGGAACGGGAACAAGACTGAAGCTGTTTCAATCCCCTGAAAGAAACAATGGGAAGAGGATGGAAATGGAAGGTTAAGAGAGCAAGAGAGCCTAGTATTTCTAACCTTTCTAGCTCCTCCACCTTCAAGGTGAGCTGCTTTTTCTCCTCCTGGGCAGACTGATACCTCTCTCTTGTCATCTCCATTTTGTCCCCCTGGAGCTCAATCTAAAAATTACAGTAAGTAATTACTTTACAGAACAGTCACTACACACACATGACCAACCACCTAAAAATAATTGTATGCAGCTCTCCAGAAGGAAATATGCCTAATTCATAATTTCTGAGAGCTCCAGAAAAGGAACAGTAGATAAAAAAAATAGCACCAAACATCCATTTTGCTGGTGCTTCCAATTAATGTTTGGAAATGTATGAGAAAATTCTTCCATACTGCAAATGAAAAGCCAGGTCCATAAACACTTGCATGCAGAGCAGCCACCTGTAAGCACAGCAAAGCACACACATTAAAAGCAGTCATATACACAACAGCAGCCCACAAAGGCATTAGAGACTGAAATTCCAGGAAGGTTTATAATTCCAAGGCAATCAGAGTAAAGCAGTCAGACTGCAAGATCATTGGCTGTGTCTGAGGCATGGCTGTAGAAGTCACACCTGTTTATAATTGTCCTGCAATACATAAACAGTCCTTCTGGGGACAAAAAAAACAGGGACTGGGAAGACAATCTGAAATCAGGGTGAGAAAACAAGGTTGGGACAGCATTATCAGCAGAAAACGACAGGAGGGAAAGGTGACAAGACGATGGAAGTAACAGAAGCAAGTGTTGGCATTAGCAAGTGTTGTCGCTGCTGCTATTCAAGTCCCAGTAAGGTTCTGCACCAAGGGATGAGAAATCTTTCAAACAGTAAGGAATGCTACTAGCTACGCCACTAACTTCTTGCACAAAGACATGGCACACACCTTTATTTTGCAGTGCACGTTTAATCTTTTCAAAAAGAGACGAGAACAGAGACGAAGTTTGAACCTTCCTGTGATTAGGAATTCATCTTGGTCTCAGACTTGTGGATTGCAGTGCTGCAGGTACTTTCTGCCAGTCCCTTACCCGCTGACGAAGGTCTGCAATCATGACAGACAGGTCCACGTTCTTCTTCTCATAACTCTGAAGCTGGTCCTGACATTCTGCTAGCTGTGTCTCTGTGATCTTTAAGATCTCAGGCAGCTTTTCCAGTTCAGCAAGCTGGCTCTGGAACTGCTTACGTGCCTACAATCAAAGAAGAGAACATGAGGAACTTTCAAATGTTCCTAAGGTCAGGACTAAAAAATTTTTCAACTTAATGAAGCTTTGTTAGTTTGCAACCATGATGACTCTGTGTGGATATCTGGCCAGTGTTGGAGTTCAAGGCCTAATGTCTTCTACTACAGAAGGCCTTCTCTTAGGATTTGACATTCCCTATGGATAGAGTGAGAATGAATATTTTGGATCCTGGGATTCAATTTTACTAGAAGTACAAGCTCTTTTTTGAGGACAGCTGTTCTGCATCACACAATGGTGTAACCTACCTAGTCCACTGTTCTAAACCACTGTTTCTGCAGTAAAGGACACACTAAGCAATTTAAACACCTCTGAACACCGTATAGTCAAAAAGAAGCTGCTAATGTTCAGTAAATTTTGCAGAATTAACAAGGTCTGAGAAAAACTAATAGAAAAGGCAAACTCAAGATAAGCTGTCTATTTCCTATTTGCAGGCATTTTTCACTGCCTTCAGAATATTAAGATCCACGAATGTCTACAATGTATCAGTCTTTAGAGGAATAGTTACCAGTTCAATCTCCTTGTTCATTTCATCCTTTAATGCCTTGTTCTCTCTATCACACTTCTCCAGTTTTGCTGCCACATCATCTGCTTCCATTTGGCTCTTCAGCACCTGGACATTCAAAAAAGCCCATGTACTTTATCTGTTACATATAATTTTCAACAAATGTGCAATGGTTTGGAGTAATTAAAACTGCTGAAGGATCAGTAACAAGTTTCTTGCCACACTAACAACCACCCCAGAACTGTATTTGGGAGTTCACTTTCTGCCTCTGCCACCTGGATCATTTGGGCTTTCCACCAAATGTTCTCCCCTCTTGCTTTATCCTCCTACTACCACAGTATCCAAAATCCCCCCAGAAAAGCAGCCAAGGAAAAGTACTTGCCACACTAGAGGGCAAAAGAAAGCATCTCACTATTTTCCTTTACCTTTTGAAAAAGAACAGGGAAAAGTGAAATAGTTAAAACCATTATTTTGTTTTCTATTAATGAAAATCTCTGCTGTGGGAGTCAGCTCTTCCTAATGACCAGCACATAGTGAGGAAGGCAAGTCTTCCACACTTTGGCATACAGCACATGGAAGTTTGGATGCTGCCATTTGAGAAAAAGGCTAATAGAGACAAAAGAACCAAAACCATATGAAACTGCAACATCCCCCAAAAGCAAGCAAAGGGTTAAGGCATTACAGAATAAGCCACAACAGTGAAGGGAGAAAACATGTTTGTGCAAGGGCTGAAGGTTTTGATAAGGTGCCTACCTGTGACTTGTAGGTTTCAATCAACCCTTCATAGTTCCTGACAGAGCTCTTGAGCTGCTGCACTTCCATCTGCGCTTGGTTCAGCTTTTCCTCCACTGGGACCACACTAGCCTGAAAGAAGAAAACATCTTCCATTGAATGCTTAGAAGTAACTACCACGCTAGCTGTCTAACATTGTCTAGACTAAGAAAACAGACTTTTGTCAGTGTACGTTGGCAAAACTTTCCAGACTTCAGTGGATTGCCAAATGTACACCAGCAGAGCTTAGAGGTTTGCGATGGATGTGCAATCTTTCCATTTGCCTGAATGAGCTGTGTTACTTGGATTAGGGCCACTCCTAATTTGGATCAATGCCTAGCTTTCCAAGAACAAATCTGTCTAGGTCACCTACAAGATTACCAGTGGTAAGAGATGACAGGAGAAATACACCAGCCATTTTTTTTTTTTTCCCATTCTCTCTGTATGAGCTACAGTTTGTTCTCTGGCCAGCAGCTTGAAGATGTAAAGACTTTACTCTGGAGATTACCATTCTCTCTGTATGAGCTACAGTTTGTTCTCTGGCCAGCAGCTTGAAGATGTAAGGACAAGATGTAAGATCCCAGCTGGAAGAAACAGTACTTGGATTGGAGATACTCCTAGTCAAAACATGGAAGAAACCCAGTCCTCCTATAACATTCACTTTCTTTCTTTATGTCTCTTCCCAGCATACTTGCTCTGCCATGCCCATGGCAGCAGTGGGTGCAATTCAGTTCTATCCTCAGAGGCTAAGCAGCTTGTTATAATTTCTCCTTTTTTCCCCCAGCATTTCAGCTTCAAAAATAATATGAATAGAGTAACTACCTTTAGCCTTTCATTCTCCATTTTGAAAGAAGTTATCTCTGTAGTCTGTTGATGCAATTTATCTACCAGAGCTTCTCTGTCCTCCCGCATCTTGTCCTCCAGCGTTGTCTGCTGTTCCAGCAAGCCTGCAACACGGCTGCCATACAGAAAGAAAATTAATCTTTAAGTGACAAGAAGAATAAGACTCCTAACCCTTCAAAATTGCTTCAGAAACATGGCTTTTCCCTATCCTTTCATCTTCCTCCTCCAGCCATGTATGCACGCCTACCTGTTACACTGTTCTACTAACTCAACCTTCTTAGCCTGCTGGAAATTAACTTGAGTTGTGCCCCAATATGCAGGATAAAGAGGTACTTATCTCATAGCTAGTTTCTCCTGCAGCAATAACTGTACTGTGGTAAAACCAACACATTTATTTAGCTTCAAAATTGGCACAAACTATACTGCCTGTCTCTTCTAATCCCTTCCATTCAAGCATCTCAAAAGAAAGATAACCATAATTCTTTCAAAGCATTAAAAAATGGCAAAGGAACAGAGAGTTTTAAGGGTCAGAAAACCCTTAAAAAGCCTCCCTTTGCTGTGGCAAGTCAGCAGCAGAAGACACATCTCTCCTTCTCTGTCTCTCCAAACTCTGCTCTAGCCCTTAGGTAGTGCTGGTTTTGCTTGGCTATTTACATGCGATCCAATTAAATAATTCAATTTAATGAAATTATTCAATTAAATTATCTTTGAACTTAGAACTCATCCCCACTCATGCTTGTTTCTCCACATTAATTTTATTTTAACCTGTTCAGCGTGACAATTTCCAGTTCAAGGTCACTCTTGTCCTTTACTACTTTGTTGTAGCGACTCCTCCAGGACTCCAGAGTAGACAGTGCCTCAGCAACATAACTGTCCTATCAAACAAAAGAAATACATGAGAAAAAGAGCAAGGGTGACAAAAATGTCACTGGACACATGATATGCAGGCAATACACAGAGATACTGATATGGGTAAGCACGATATAAGCAGAGACTTCACTAAGACTTTTTAAATATTAAGGACAAGTATTTATTTTTATTCTTCCTGATTCTTCATAAAGAGGTGTTCTCCAACACTACTGTCAGCCAGCAGACATAACAGCAGTGAAAGAAGAATCCTCTCTGAAGGCAGATGAACTATCATAAATACAAAGCATGACTAAGATTCTACTAGTGGCTTTGGTCCCTGGAATTCTAAAAACAATGGAGAAGAAAACCAATTGAGTAGTGTGAAATCCACATTCCCTTCTGATTTGTTTTAGTCCTATTTTTTCTACTTTTTCTCGGTATCCTTCAGTCATTTTCAACAGGAATTTCCAGTCTTTGTACTTTTCTGCTCTGACTAGTTTCTCAATTAACAATGAACTCCATTCAGAATTTTCAGCCAAAACTACCAGGCTTTATTTCATTGGCTTTTGTCAACCCTCAGATGGTTCTAAAGAACCAGGCACAAAAATCAGATCTCCTAATTTAGTACAATCTAAGTTATGGCATGTCCTAAGTTAAGGACATGCAGCGAATATAGTGACAGTTGAGAAAACCGGATTCGTTCTAAACTTAGCATAAATGGGCCAAGGCATCAAGACAGAAATAAATCTCATTAGTTGAAAGCAGAAACTCTCCCCAGGGATGCTACCAGAAGTCAAACATTTAGATGCATGATCTGAAATGAGGTCTCTCCTCCTGTATTATCAGGTACCTTTTCTGCTAGCTGGACAGTCAATTGCTCTGCATACTCTTCACTCCGCTCTGCCCGCTCTTTCTGTGCACGGATGGCTTTCTTCAGGGCCTCTTTATCACGGTCTGCCTTCTGCCTTAGTTCTTTCAGTTGTTCCATGATACGTTCCACCTCTGCCTTATGCTGAGCTTCACTGCGCTCCAGATTCTGCAGGGGAGAAGAAAACATGGAATAATGTCCTTATACCTGCATACCCAAAGCAGTAACTAATTTTCTAGAAACAGTGGAGAGAGTTGGGCATAGATCCCCAACCTCCAGCCTGGAGGTACTTGCAATCACATTTCATCACCAGCCAATATTTCAGGCTACCAGACACAGTAGAAGAACAGTTTGTGACTGCTACTTCCCTTGTCAGTCAATTCAGTTCATGAGAGTAAATGAAGACACAAGCCCCAGGGACTACTGAAAACATACCCGTATCTGTATACTCAGACGGTTGTTCTCAGCTTCTTTATTTCGCAACTGTGCTTGTAAATGGCCTCTCACAGCCTCCATGGATTTGGAGAGTTCACATGCTGTCTTTGCCTGGTCCTAAATAAGAAGCAAACAAGACACACACCCTTTTCCTCAAGAAGCTAATAGAAGGAACACTTTCTAATATGAAACCATTCCGTGAAGAAATCTGATACTATCTCCAGCCACCTCCACTTTCCTCAGGTAAACCCTTACAGCTCCTTTACTCCGGCCAAGTGGGCAATAAGTGAGTAGCCATTTATTTTACATCAGATGTGAATGACTGGCCTGAAAGATTTGTTCTAGGGCAAAACACCCTTCATATCTGATCTCTTCCACTACATTCCTTTTTTACTTCCTTCCTTTTACTTCCTAAACAGAGGAACAGACTGGAATTTGACGTCAGGAACCAACAGGACCTTAAACAGAAAGGCAATTCAGTGATAAGCCCAAGCAAAGAGAATACTACCTATTCACCTTTGTGATGGATGTTTTATTAGCAGAAAATTGAATCCACAGCTGTGAGGGAATAGGTAGTTATCTGTCTGGTTTTATAAGCAAGCCAGTCATCTGATCCCTTAGAAAGTAATCGTCTGCAAGTACAAACCCATATTTTGGACTATCTATGGTTCTACAAAACTGGAAAGCAGAGCAGGGAGAGGAAAACAGAAAAAGGAAACTACCTTTTCTGCCTGTATCTGAACAGTAAGATTGTCCACTTCCTCTTCTTTCTCCTGAAGCCTCATCTGAAGTTGCTGGGAAAAAAAACACCACTCAGATGTAAAGTAACAAACACACTTAGGCTGGCAGGAGGAGGGGAAGAGGGGTAACTAGCAACAGCATCCTCAGCCCCAGAAAAAACAGGCTGCATTCTCCTCAAGCAGAACGCAAAAGGGATACACATACATTTGTGTAACAGGGCATAGGATACCTAGTCAAGAACGAGGACCTGACAGGACTATATACTCCACAGACAAGGAAAAGGCATTAACTATGTCTCACACCAAGTTTCATAATTTCTGTCAATGTAAGAACTCTTTTCTCAGTTTTCAGATAAGAAAATGAACAAGAACTGGCACCAGGTCACTCATTCAGTGACAGAAGCAGATACAGAAAGCTCACCCTATTTGTGCCTTTCCATCTCTAAGGATAATATGATAAACACATAAAAACAACAAGATGATTTCCAAACTGAAGAATTCTATCCCGACCATCAGGGGTATTTTGGCAGTGGATATGTTTTTCTCTCCCACCCTCAGAGTTTTCTTTTTAAGGAAACATATGGTAGAATTCTTGCTTTGTACATTCTGTACCATAAGAAAAAGGTAAGCAGAATCATCTGTGCTTAAACATAGAAAGAACATACTTAAGTTCTCCATTATAGCTGAGTACTGTAAATCCTAATGGTGCTCTTATACATAGGTCTCAGTGGTGCTACCCCATTCTAAGCCCCCATATTTCAAAGGCTATGAAAATCCATCCATTTTGAAATGTAGGTTGTTAACCAGAAGAGCAATGTAGTGGCTCTGATTACCACAAAAGCCAAAATATTTTTAATTGGTCTAAAAGGCATTAGTGGAAGACTTGAAGGCTGAATACAAGACAAAGAAGAGTTTGTTATTGTAGATCTCTCTGCTTTATCATTAAAAAAAAAGGAAAGATGACAGATTGTGGTTTGCTTACCACTTTCTCTGCATCCGAGTCAGCCAGCCTTTTCAGCAGTGCTCCTTGCCGCTCCAGTATCTTCTGAGCATCCTTCTAAAAAAGAAATACATGAGAAAAATTGTTAACTAAAAAGTCAATTTTATACAGATTATTTAAATGGAACTGGGCAAATCAACCCTTTTAACCAGTTGCAGCAGCAACTCTCAGGAGATACCCAAAACCATCAAATTTGCTAAATATTTCACATATTATTATCCATCTCAACGCTCTTCACTTCTCAAAGATTATAATAAAAAGCATGATGGCAATTTAAGATCTTTCCAAACTCTCCTGCTACTCAGGGAAAGTCATGTGGAAGAACTCAGTCCTTTTGCCTAGTCTCACTGGTGGCAAAGAACTATTACCATCAGCCTGCTTTTGCTCAAATGGAATATAAACTACAGGCGGAATAGCAGTTTCATTTCTGTATTGCTCTTATAAGCAGTATAGAATTGTTCTGTACAAGCAGTATAGAATTGTTTAAAATTTCTCTGTTAGTTTTGTAGGCTGTGAGACCAATAAAGTTCTGAACATCATTAGACTCCCATTAGCTAAGGCCACATATAGTCACATTTCAGCCAATGCAACTTGTAGCAGAAACATTTCAGACTAGCATGATCAGCAGATACAGCTGTACCCAGATGAGAAAGAGTTGGCACAGAGTAGCGTCTATACCTTTTAATACAGTCAAAGACTTAGATGCTCTAACATCCTGACAGCAGAAAAGTCAGTCTTACTCTATGATGTAGGCAGGGATAAAAAAAACCCCACAGCTATCCATCTTTTATGACACAGGGTCAACAGCAGGGTTGGGAAAGAAAAAGAAAAAAAAAACCAAAAAAACCACAGAGTTAAAAGCTCTCTAACTCCATTTCAGTCCACAAGACAACATAGCTTCCTGTAATCAGCCAAGTTCAAGCACACAGCACTGCTCACCTCCCGGTTATGCTGTTCTCTGAGAAGTTCTCGTAGTGTCCGGTTGGTTTCTTCAAATGTGCTCAATTTCTGGAGCAGAAGCTCTTTTTGTCTTGTCAGTGTGTTAATGTCTGAGCTGCTCATGTGTTTCTCCTAGAGGGAAAAAAAACCAAAACCCAAAAAAAAAAAAAAGAATTGTTCAACATGGAATTAATGTATGAAGCCAATACACGCATGAGCAGTGCAATAGTCAGCACCAAGTGTGCAGAAGGTAACTGCAAGTAAATGCCCCACTTCCAAACAAAACCAGCAAACACCTTAAGCATGTTAAACCCCTCCACTTTTCCTTACATTCTTCTGGATCAGCAACAATAACATTACATTTTTCAGACAGCCGTATAACAGGACAACGCAGTAAAGGCAAGAACAAAAAAAAAGACACCACCTACAATGTTCAGTCTCCCAATTGTATTTTTCAGGGCATGGATCTGCCTGGCTGCTGCTGCTCCATCCCTTTCTGCCTCGCTCAGCTTGGACATCAAACACTCCTTCTCATGCTGCAAGTACTTTTTCTGTAGCCTGTAATGAGAATTTAGCCATCAGAGAAACAAGAAGCTTTGACAGCTGTACCAGCCACTATTGATATATAGCTGATTGGGTTAAAACTCAAACTCCCTCAAATTGGAGGATAAAAGCTCTAAACAAACAGTACTTAAGTGTGGAAGTTGTTCGGATAGAAGCCAGTAAGTAGACACAAGGAGCTTGCTAGGACCACAGCTATGAAACAGGAATTCAGAGGGGATAAATCAGGCTTATACCAAAGCCTGCACACACCCTTATACCCAAAACACAATGCTATGCTTTCCCTGGGCACTTAAGCTACACCAGAAATAAGACTCCAAATGGTTGAACACGAAACAGGAAAGCACACCAAGATACACAGTTCAAAGTTTTTAGCCAGGGCTTGTAACCTCAGAAGTATTCACAAAGTTTTCTGAAAAAGGAATACACAGTATTAACTTCCAAGTGATCTTTCTTAAGGAAAAAATAAAACTAAGGGGCTGTCACTCCTGACTCCTATGATTTTCACAAAGGCAAAAAATTCTCCCCTAGTTTTTAGCTCCACGTTTATTCATTTGTTGTTCTACCAATATCATCACAATTCAAACAGCATCTTTTAACCTTCAAAATATTAATTGCAGAGCTATGATGACCCTCCAGCAGGCCACACAAGCCAACTGCTCTCAGATTCTTCTCAAGAGTACTTTTTTTCCATTCCAATAATCACGCTAGAGCCCTTCTCTGCAGCTATTGCCATCTGAAGTCCCCCTTCTAAAAGGTGACAAAAAAAATCCAAGAACATCAAGAACAGCACTGCAACCCAGAGTACAAACTACAACCTCAAATGACGTTAACAATAAAGGAGGCAGGTGCTCTGTAAATACCACTACTTGCAGTAACAACAGAGAACTGGAGTTTTCTTACACAGTCAGCTCTTTCTCTTCTTTTATGCGCTCAATATTGCGTCTGAGCAGTGTATTCTCATGTTCTGTTTCTACCAGCTCCTGTGTGACCTCATTCAGTTCTTCTTTCTGCTCCTCAAGGAGACGCTTTGTCATTTGCTGCTGTTCCTCCTTTTTCTGCAGCTTGGCCTGATGAAGATATTTAAACAGAACTTAAGACAAACCAGGTGCTTTTAAAGTGATACGGAGAACCCACATCTCAATCCAGTGAACCAGCTATTCAGCTGCACCAAACAACAAAGGACCATGGTTTTTGGGTTTTGTTTTGGGGATTATTTTTTTTTCTAGATGATTCCAAGGCTATTCCTGTGCATAAAGAGCATAATTCACTTACTGCCTGGAAATACTTCCCATCCCACAAACACAGGGAGACACAAGTGTCAAACATGGCAGGAGAGGAGCTCTGGTAGCAGTTCACATGCTGGAGATGGCTCCCATTGCTTCACTGTTGCTTTGTGAGATTCAGGGAACTGGGTGAAATCAACCGAAGTAGTCCCTGGCATTTTGTTTCCATCTATGCATTTTTGATTACTCAGGAGGTTCTGTGGCAGCTCAGTGTCACTGCTGGCAGTGTGGCTGGAGCTGGGTACAGACTACTCAAGAGCTGCATGGGGCTCAGAAGTTGGCTACTGCTCCTCAGGAATGACACGTGCATCCCATTTGGCAGTTAAGAGCACTACAACCAGTTGAAAATGTGCAAGAAGACAGAACATAGAGGAGGGTTGAGCTGCTGTACCAGACAGTTTCTTTTTGCAGCAAAAAACGTCACTGGAGATTTGCTGGCTGGTACAGAATTAAAGCTAACAAAACTAATGTGAACTTACACCATGGGTTTATTTAAGTGACACCATCAAATATTCAAATTCAATTACCTTATTAAAAGTATCAAAATGGATTCTTGTTTTACAATCATGCAAGTAATTCCATTACATTTTGTAGCACAAATAAAATGGAAAACACTTAACATAAGAATCTACTTGACTCAAATCCTATTCTTGTTCATTGATTTCAACTTCATGTAGATTTGAGTAATAATAATACAAGATTTGTTACTCTCGGTGTTAACTCAAAGTTAAAAATGCAGTTTGTCCCCATGATAGAACATGGTATGAAATCCGGAAACATCTCCTACCCATTTTTTAAATGGTGTTGAGTACGTAAGAGGCTATTTATCTGGAAAACACAACATCACTGGGTTGCACATTTTGAAACAGAATCAGAAGAAACAAGCTTGTTCAGTGTGTGGATTCTTTGTCAATAAGACATCAGCATACTGTGCTTTTCACCTTCTGGAAGGACCAGTTTTCAGATTCGGGACTTAGACAGAAGAGATTATTGGAAACTGAAGCACAGCAATACCTTATTAAATGGATAATGTTTTAAAATATTTCACAGTGAATTTCTTAGTGAATTTTTCCCTAAGATAGTTCAGCTCTTCTAAACAACTCAGATTGGTTAGCTTGCTTAAAAAAAAAGAAAAAAAAAAAAATCAAAGGCCTGGGTAGTCTTCCATTGCAACAAGACTTGACTCCAGCCTCTTCTTGCCAAATATCAGCTACAAAGCCTGAGTCAACAGGTCTTTACATTGTCTCCTCACCTCATTCTTCAGTGTTCCCACCACATTCATCAGGCTATCTATCTTCTTTTCATATTCGTTCATTTTGCAGTAAACAGCATCCTCCTCATCTGTAGAGAGGTCACTCAGGCGCAATACCGACAGCATTTTTTCAGAATCTGGAGGTGTAATTTCTAGGCGGTGAGTTGGTCCCTGGTAGAAAAGCAATAAAGGACACGATTTTTTAGTATAAAGTTATAAACTGTATTCTAACCCTAACTGTGCCAAAAACAGAGACCAGGCCACATCACTGCAATAAGGCTAGCAAGGAAAAAAACATTTGTAAAACAGCTCTTTCATTTCCATCAGGGAAACACATCAAGAATGCAGAAAGACTAGAACAGAAAGGAAGAAAAAATAATGAAAGTTCAAATTCTCATCTAGGAAGAACCAGGAATACAAAAGGCAAAACTATCAATCCATGAGAAAGAAAATATTACACAATACTACACAAATGCTCCATGCTTTGGAAGAGACTAAGAACAGCAGCCCCTCACTGTGCCTCCAGATGACATCTTGAAGGGGACTAGTAAAACCACAACAAAGAAAGAAATTTGTCTGGCTTCTAGAAGCAGAAAGGTATGATATGGCCATAAGCTGCTAATTAATTTCCATTTTTTCTATATTAAAAAGTGAAAAATATTTCTAGAAGACATTTTAAACGGATGGTAGATGACAGTAGCCTTCTTTCAGGTCAGGCATACTCCCTAACTACACGACTGCTCTCTTCAACCTCAGATAAACCTGAAAGTTTGTTTTAAAGAGCAAAACCAGCCATACCTCCCATTTGCAGGTGGACTCCCGGACAGATGTTTTGCCTGGGGGTATCCAGGGGGCCTTAGTTTTCACCCGGACAGTTCGACATATGTTCATGGTATCCCCTTTCATTTTCTGTTTGTGCTTTTGCTAAAGAAAGATAAAAAAAAAGTCAGACTTTTAAAGAACCATTTACAATTTTTTAGTGCCACAAAACCAAATGAAATTAATTCATATAAAAATACCACAGTGTTTCACATGATACATCAGATCCAATGAGCCAGAAGGCATCAGAGGCAGCTAACACCAGCCAAAAAGAAAGGTTATTGCACATTCAGTTGACAGTATAGCTAGATGTGGTACATTCTTGTCTATCACGTAGCAACTCTGTTATATCACTGGGATACCTGCAGTTGTGATGGTGAAGAGAGCCTTACCCAGCAGACCGGGGTGGGAGGGAAGGAAGTCTCCTCTGTATGGAGTTACACAAAAAAACCACCCACAATACAACCCATTCACATGAAGAAAGAACAACCTGGGAGATCCCCTCCCCATTCCAGATTCATCTCACAAAAGAGCGGCTATATCATTCGACAACAGCACTTTTGGAGAAAAAAGAAGAGTGCAGTGTGATTGGTTACAAAAAGCCCCTGAAGGGTTTTCCTTGCTTTGCAGTCAACTAATGGATCCACAATTATTTATATCGAACCTGAGGTGCTCTAATTGTAAGGGAATTTAAAGTGGTTTTGCATGATTCTAACCTTACAGAACTATCAGTTATTCTAAATATTCCCTACAGGCAATTAATTAATAGGAGTCATTGATTTCACTGTCAGGCCCTACCCCATTATGATATTTGCCATTAGCCACAAACAAAATTAATAGAGGACTTAGAGCAGAATGTCTGCACATAAGTAAGAATGAGCTAGCAACTTCCATCACCTTTTGAGAACAACTCTACATAAACATCCAACTACAAAAGAGGACATGAGACAGCTAGAAACGCAACTTCAGTATTGCCTTCTACCTACTGTGGATAAGGCTATGAAGAGATCCTCTTTGCTGCGTAGCTCAGCAGACTGAGAACGTGCCTAACGCCAGAAGATGGTTTGAATCCAGACTCTTTTTTTTTTTCTAAACACATTTATTTTAATGCAATCAAGATGGAATTTGAAACACCTAGATATTACCCTTACCCAAACCTTTCCTCCAAAAATAGGGATGACACCAAAGAAAAACCATTATCAGGACACAAATATGAGAAACAACCGGAAAAAAAAATTCCCCCAAACCACATCACATGGGAAGCAACACTTCTCACAATCACACACTTGAACATGAAAAGTAACTATATATTCTATATCATACTTGAAATAGTCTTAAACACAGAAGATGTGTTACTGAAAAGTCACCATTGGATATGAATTCAAGACTTACACTTCCAATACAATGGTAAAACAGACCTTGAAGATTTTGTGGTGCTTCTAGGACCATTCACCTTCCTCTTTGTAGCCTTTACAAACACCCAGCTACACACTCCTACCTGGCACTTTGCAGGTGTGGTTTTCTGACCCTTTTTAATATGGACATGGACAGGGGTGTTTTCATCCACATGGACGTGCAAAGGGGGAGATGAGGAACGGTTCTTCATGGCTCTTCTCCCACAAACGGAAAAGGGCAATACAATGAAAGGAAACCTGTGAATAAGGAAACTGGAAATAACAACATTTCCCTCTGTGCTGGAGAGCAACAATGGCCAGCCTTGGTTAGTTTGAGCTTTCAGTAGCATCTGCCATTTTGAATTGCACACTATTTTCCTGTAAAGCTAGGATTAATACATGTAATTTCTCTGCTTCTGGCATTTTCTGCTTTTAGCATGGTTATTAAAGACCAAATATAGTTGAATTGATAGCAGGTGTCTGTAAGAGTCATTGGACTTCAAAGTCTTAGAACAAGTGAGGAAATCAAGGGTTTCAGTAACCAACACGATCTGATTATGAAGAGAAATTTGAAGGGTGGAGGAGCATTAATTTAACAGTGTAGTTAAGAAAAATCAATAGGAAACCATCAGATCCTTCCATCCTAGAACCCAAACTCGTAAACTCTTTTATATGTTCTTAACTTTAAGGTCTTTCTGAAGTTAAATAAACGCTTAAAAGCTTTTGGATCACAGCATTTCTTTAATCTTCAGGAAAAAATCATAACCTTAACCAACATCTAACACAACACAGAAAAGCCCAGAGACGCAAGGTTAAAGTCATCACCTTTGAGCTTGATGCTTCAGTTAAGGTAATGGTATAATGTAATTGCAATTCTTACAAAAAATCCACCAACAGCACTAATCCAATTCTGGCAGAAAGGTTTTCATCAGCCTAGGTAAAATTACTTACAGTTATTTTAAAGTTTTTAGTTCTTCTGGACAGCGTGCTCTGTGCAGAGACTGAAGTCACTTCATCATTGATGGATGAGGGACACCTGACACAGAAATAATAAAATGACCACTAATACAAAAAGGTGCCAATTTCTGAACATCCTCTTCCTTTCAATTTAAGGCAACATGCACGCTCAAACACATCAAATGTATGAATCCAAACAACAAAAGTTGGTGCGCCCTGGCTTCCTCTGATGATGAGAAGAGGGAAGGACCAAGACTGTAATTGCTTACATATTGATGATGAAAGTTGTTTTAAACAATGGAAATGTTTTATACAAATACACGATGGCCAAAAAAGTTACAAGATTTCAAATTCTAACTGCAATTTTTAACCTGTTTCATAAGGAAATGAAGTTTGAACAGTTCCAGGGTATCTGTACATCCCCTCCCAAATCCCACACTCTCTCCAAGTTCTGCCATCATCCACAAATTCTGTAAAACTTGACAAAAATGTTGAAGTTCTAGGTTTACAGAGTTTTGCAGGCTGAGGAGATGCATCCAAATTAGCACTCACACTGAAGGAAACCCAGCACCACTCGTGTTGCAGCATGGTCACTGCCTGCCAAGCAGATACATGTGTGCTGCTCAGCTGACCAGTAGCCCACAGAGAACTGGGAGTCAGCTACAGCACAAGCAGCTGCTTGCCTGGTGGTACTCAATGGACTTGAAGGAATGAGAGCAAGGGAGGAGGGAGTCCCCAAAGGACTAATGTCTACTGGGGAGCGATGAAGTGGTGGTATATCAGGCTTAGTTAGCTAACCTTATGGTAACACCCCTTCACAATTTGCTATGTAAGAACAAGATTACTTGTAGTACTGTAGAGCCGGATTTTGTACAATACTTCTGCCAGTCTAGAATTTAGATCACTCTGTATGGCTCATTGATTAATTTGCCAGCTTGCCAAGGTTCATGTAATGATATACTGTAAATAAAACTAATAATAGTGCACCTGTTTTTAAGCAGTATGTGTTTAAGACAAAACACACCTGTATATCATGTCAGACTTATGAAAATTACAGAGGGGAAGACACAGAGGTACTTCCCTTGATCAGGAACAGGAAGCGACAGTTTTCCAAAGGAACAGGGTTCACCAGCTGCTGGCTATAAACAACTCCAAACACCGCTGGGTGTTTTAATCCTCTTCTTTCCAAGGAAGGGTTAAACTCTCCTCAGGACCAAATGTGCACATGGGCCGAAGAACCGACTGAGAACGTTCGCAGAGCTTTTGAATCCCCACAAGTGAAACTCCAATGCTGTCACCCAGCTTTCCCTAGCAACAAGGTTTATATCAGAAGTTTAAGTAACTCCTGCCATCCCTGGGGGGCTTTTCAAGGAATCTGTGGCTACCTCGGGCTGGCAGGGACCGAGTCTGGCGTCAGTCTTCTGCTCAAAGCAGGATCAGCTCTGAGGTCAGAGCAGGGCTTTACACCCAGGTCGGGCTGGAAAACCTCCAGGAGTGACACCACCCCCCCGAGCAGCCCGGCCCAACCCCTGCCCCGGTACCGGTAACGCTTTCCGTTAAATATTTAAAGTCGCCTGAGAGTTCCGGCTTTCCCTCGCAGCGGGAAGCACCACCGCAAGGCAGGAGGTGCTTCTCATCACTGACACGGCGGGGAAGGCGCCGAAGGCATTATCCCCGGGGCCGCAGATATCCCCGCGGCCACACGGCAAGGGGACCCCCGCCCTCCCCGG